AATATCAAGATGATATATAATTACTTATCAGGTGAATTAGAAGCAAATAAATCATATTAGATGTATGAGGATGAAAAGATGAATAAAAATAAAAAGACATTTAGCTCTGCTTTGAATGCCAAAGGCTAAAACAACTGGAATATTTTGTTTTGTTTTTTTTTCCCAAGTAGATAATTGTATGTTTGCATAGCACAATGCCCAGAATTTACCCATCTTTAAATAAACAACAAAATAAAATCATCTTATTTTCCATTTTTTAATTTTTTTCCTTTTCATTTTTTAGTTTTTCTTTTCTTCTCTAGGGCATGTGCTCTGGCCATAGAGCAAGAGAAAATGAGAAATAACAGCCCATTTGGGTTGGCCACACCACAACTCCTTTGACCTCATTCTCCTCTTAGGATTTTGGGCATGCACACTCACAGGCCCAGTGTGTTTTTCATGCGGTGGGGCCCAGGACTCAAACTACACAGTCAGCCATGTGGTATCCAGTGTCTTAACCATCATGCCACATCGTGGCCCTAAAGTCATTTTATTTTAATTTCAGTTACTCGATCTCCTATAACAACACAAGTCACTATTCTCTCTTCCCCATCATGTCCCTTTATATCGGCCAACCGCTTCTGAACTGGGGCTACTTCCTCCTTCCTGAACATAACTCACATCTTTCAAGATCTTTGTGAGCTCTGCTTGGAAGATGTTTACTCCACCTTTCCTTTTCCCTCTTTATTACTTCTCTCTGTCTTCTCATATCTCAAGATCTATCTCAATAGTTCTAACCTACCACCTACTCTGGGAATGGATTTTTAGTAGTTAGGGAAGGCAACACTTCAGTTCATTCTTAAAAAATGAGTTACAACAAAGATGTAAGACTGAGTGAGCACGAGAGGAAAGAGGTATAGGGCATTATTACTCTTTGTTGGCAGAATGAGGAAATGAGATAAGGAAGTAAGGAACAGAGGAGGAAGACCACCTGATTTATGTCAGCAAACTACCAGCAGCCTACTACTGGCACCAGTTCTGACTAAGCAGTGAGGAGTGATGCTATAAAAAAAGCTAAGCATGATATGAGGAAGTATTTGCATTCCATGAAAAATTGTATAATTTTTTGAGAGGTTCCCCTTAAGTGTATTATATGGAAAAAAGTGGCAGAGTTAGATTTGCGACTTGAAACAGACTCAAAGTCCCTCTAATTATAGCCCTAATCTGCTGTTGAAGCTTTGATTCCATTGCTCTGCTATGAGGTCCCCTGCCTCTCATTTGATGGAACGACTGACTCTTCCCTGAATATAAGCCAAACTCTTCTCATTGGATGAGCCCACTTTGGAAAAGCAAGTTCCATTTACCTCTCATCTGCAAAATTACATGTATGCTCTTCCAAAGATGGTTGTGAAAATGAATGAGCTAACACATGAACACTATGTTTGTCATGTTGAATACTCTTCCTTCTGATGCTTACCTTACCTTACTTCAAATTACAACGATATGTGTATCCCTGTATAAGACTGCAAATTCCTTAAGGCTATCACTGTGTCTAAACAGTGGCTCTAACCAGGGGCAGCAATTTCGCCCACTAAGTGACGCATCTCAATGTCTGGAGGTATGTCTCAATTTTCAATGGTCTTGATTGTAAGTTATTACTGATGAAACATTTTACAATGCACGACAACCCCCACAATAAAGAAAATCCAACTCAGAGGTCCATGGTGCCAAGTTTAAGTAACTCTGACGTAGCCCAGTTCATCTTTGTAGTCCAGTCTGCAATGAACAGGGTTGCACATGGTTAAGAGTTGTGTGGAATTGCTAGAAATTATTTGAAACCACTTCTCAGTAGGTAAATGTTATAAATTGCTGTTGGGGAGTTAAAATTAAATTAGCATTTTATATGGCATAGGAAATTGAAAGATAACCATTAGTGAATCTTGATTAATTTGAGGGAAACAATTTCCATTTGTATTTAGAGGTGACCAGTTTAAAAGCCAAAGTTCTCTTAATCAGCAAGCTTTTATAATGAAATGCAGTAGGATTTATTTTTATATCAAAGGAGCTCTCCTGATAGTTGAAGAATGTGTCTGAATACAATTAAAAGATCACTGGTAAGCAGAATACAGTGCCTCAGCTACATTCTGGGAGAGGGCACTTAATAATCTAGAATCCAGTGACACTTTAATGAGAAGTTTAAACTTATTGGCCCCAAACCTTGGGATTTATCTATGCTTGTTACATAGATTTTCATTTTTTTTAATAATAAAAAGATGAGTGAAAATCAAAACAAAAGTTTGAGACTGGGGGGAAAATGCTTTACAAATGATTCAACAAGTATTTAAAACTGAAAAGAAGAATCAAATTGATAACATGTATCCACATATAGTAAGGCCTTAATTTCAAGGAAGAGGTGAAGCTCAAGGCAGTACCAAGGAAACTTAACCAAACTCAGTTTTCTTAGCTTACCACATCCAATGACAAACTGCTCAAAGGACCGGACCACTCAGTGAACAGGACTTGTTCATGGGTCCTGGTGGATAAAAGATTAAGAAATAGTATAAATAATAATAATAATCTGAAAATAATGATGAAAAGCTATTTGATGAAGATGATATAGATAGTAATGTCTTTATCTTGACAGAATACGTGATAATTGTGCTGGAAAAAGAATTGTAATACACTGTAAAGATACATGTGATTCAATGTAATATAAAAAAAGATTATGATAATAAATAAAATTAAATTAAAAAAAAAAGAAATGTTAGTATAGTCTCTAGTTTTCCAGTACCCATGAAAAGGCTCAAATTGAAATCTTTGCTAAAGCCAATTAGGAGACATTGGTTTTTAACCAATACCCTGCACCCTAAATAAGTCTCATTAAAAACAAAGATTTTGCTGATTCTATTATATTAAAAAGTAGGTCTTACTATCACTATCTAATTGCCAGTAGCAACATATAATTCAAAGGGAAACACGCTCGTCTGATGAATTTCTTAAGATATTTTTTAAAAGAGAACTGTGCTCAGACGGTACCAGTGATGTTCTCGTCCAGCTCTCTATTAGGCTTCCATGTTCAGATCCTACATTTGCGGGGGGTGGGGAAGCACAGGCGTCATGTATTCTCTTTCGTCCAGGATTCAAAAACAAAAGTCCTTGAAGAATAAGTTGCATAGGTCTTGTTCCCTACCATTCCTCCTCTGAGCACAGTCATTGCGGCTTCCTCTCCTGTTCTGAGAAGACCACTGTTTTATCCCATTCCAGTTCTCTTTGGAAGATAGCTAGACTCTCCCAGGATATGTTTTCTCATTCAAATCCAAATCAGAGATTTCTCTGGAGCTCCTTTGAACTGAGCCCCTCTTTGTCTCCAAATAGTTCTGCACTCAATTAAATGCCTGTTAGTGTACCCTCTGACTTAAACGTTCCACTCACATCCTCCAGACTGTACCTGATGAAAAACAACTTCCTTAGAATCATTTTGCAGTTCCTTTTTAGTTCCCTGATTGAAGGCTGTGTCTCTCCTAATGCTCCTTTTGCCACACTAAAGTATTATCCTTGGGGGTCAATACTTAGCTGATCAATGCTGACATGTCATCATGAATACGCTTCATCACTGTTCTCAGGACATACCTTCATTTTTTTTTTTTGGAGGGGGAGAGGTTTTTGTTCTAGGGTGCATGCACTCACCAGAAAGACAGAGACAGAGAGATAGAAAGGGAGAAATCACCCCCAAGAGAGGATGGTCACACCGTGATCCCTTCTCCTCCATTCTCCTCTCGGGATCTTGGTCATGCATACACACATGCCCGGCATGAGTTTAAGTTGCCCGGTTCAGGACTCTAACTGTTGTTGACTACATGGGAGTTCAGCGACATAGGAATTACACCAATTGCTGGTCCCCTGAGGGCATACCTTTAAGGACTCCCACCAACTGGTTTTGTTTTCGAAAAAAAAGGTTTTTTTTTTCACTTATCAGGAAATTACTTTCATTAGGATAGGAAGGAATACAAAGCCACTCCATCGAAGGGGTATCAATCAAATGACTTTGCTGTCCTCCTTCACATATGCCAATTTCAGTGAGCAAAGACTTCCTTGACCACAGGGACCTTTATACAGGATGGTTCAGAATGATGATGGGACAGGTACAATCTCGAATTCAATGCATTGTGAAGAAACTCCTTACTTACAGATGACCCCCCCTCATCACAGATCTGAAACATGTTATCTTTTTTTTTTTTTTGAGAGGTTTTTGCTATAGGGCGTGTGCGCTTGCCAGACAGACAGAGAGAGACAGAGAAAGAGAAAGCGAGAAATCACCCCCTAGGGGGGATGGTCATGCCGCAATCCCTTCTCCTCCATTCTCCTCTCAGGATCTTGGGCGCGCACGCACACGCGCCCGGCGTGAGTTTTAAGCCACCAGGTCTGGGACGCGAACCATAGTCGACTACATGGGAGTCCAGCGACATAGCCATTATGCTAAGTGCTGGTTCCCAACGTGTCATCTTAATTATAGTCAATGTATCCTAATTTCTGTCACTCATCTAAAAAAAGAGTTTTTATTACTTACAGCGTCCATGCAACATGCCATGGAATCTCCTTAATATTTTTCTATCAAAGCATTTTTTCTGATGACCAGCGAGTGTCCAGTATAAGAATCTTGGCTCTGAGTTCATGAAAATTTCAACCAGAAACTGACTGACACAAGTGCAAATGACAGCCCATGAATACATAGTCATAATTCTTTTCTTTGCACCTAAACTAACTTGCTCTACATTGCCTGGCAGTTAACAAACCTTACACAGAAATGCAGGTCAGAGAAACTCAGAACACTGTATTTATTGGTAAGATAGATCACCATGACTAGAATCAAGAATCCACACTGGAGTCAGGATCCAGTCTGATAAACCATTTTGGAACTCTGAATCTCCCTGTAAATTGCCTGTCTTTGAGAAAGCCCTTCCCGGTGAGGTCTGATTCTGTTGCGTTTGCCTGATGTCTAAAGCATCTCTGTTTTGTTTCAGCTGGCAGGGTTCATCTACGCCTGCTATGTTGTGAAATGTATAACTGAAGAAGAGGACAGCTGTAAGTATTAAAGCACTATTCTGTTTCTTTCAAGTTCAAAGCGTCTTCTTTACTGCCTCCTACCTAGACTTCCTACTCCTCAGATATATCCCTCAACACGTCATTTACACAAGGAATAAGTCTTTTGTATCCATCTGGCTAAAGTATTTTTCATAAAAAGTATGCAGAATATTATATGAATGTACAAGCACCCGTTTTGAAAATGTACTTCTTTCTTTTCATTCAAAGTCACTTAAATAGTCTCTTCCATTTATAATAATTCTAATACAGAATAGAAAGGGCAGATTGAAGCTGGAGAGATTTTAAAATGTGGTTAACCTGACTGTTTTCTTTTTATAACACACTGATTAGGTATTGATCATTAATCAGCCTCACTAAATTTAATACAAATCCCAACAATTGACAATTTACAATGCTTCCTGAAGTTCTCAAAAGAACTGACTTCAGATTAATTTAGGATCTTTGTCTCTGGGAAATTAAATGTTCATATGTCCTTTTTATTCCTACACTTGGATACAAATGACTAGAACTCCATGCCAGAGTCTCAGTATTAAGTCCTATTGCTTGAGTCAGAGTGTAGTCCGTGGGACCCTTTTATAAATCCCTGATGCTTCCATTGTCCTTCACTCTTTCAAACATGGTAGGGAGGATCTGAAATAGGAAGACTGAAAAAAGTACAACCATACATCACTTAATGATGGAGCTATGTTCTGAGAAATGCTTCACTAGGCAATTCCATTGTGTGGCTATCATACGATGTGCTTACACGAACCTAAATGGAATCTCTTACTACATGCCTAGGCTATGGCATCAGTCTACATGAGTGTGTGTGTGTTTGTGTGTGTATGTATGACTAGATGTGGCCTCTTGCTGGCAACATTATTAGGACATTTCGTGGCTTGGAAGTTGTTATGAACAAAACAATGTAAGATCCAATCAAGCACAAAGGAAAATGATGCAATCAAGAGACACAGTAAACACAAGGTGTAACATAACAAAGGGTACTTTTCACAGTAAACTCTTGTCTTAATGGGTAGGAATATGCTCTAAAATAATGATAAAACATATAGTGTGGTAGATACATAAACCAGAAACATAGTTGTGTATTCTCATTATCAAGTACTGTGTATTACTCGTAAAGTGTTACGTATTGTACTCTGTATGTGTTCTGTATACAGCGTCATTGTATATAGATGTATATGCTATACTTTAACTGACAGGCTGCCCAGTAGGTTTGTTTATACCAGCACCCCATAAGCACGAATATCACGTTGCATATGATGTCACTAGGCAACAGGACTTTTTCACCTTCACTGTAACTTATGGGACCACTAACATATACGTGGTCATCACTGACTGCCCAAGCACATGACTATACTTCCATTTTTTCTGGATACTATCATGGATAATTGAGTATATTTACTCTAAGGAAAAATCAGAATTAAGAATATTTTTTCTTGGCTTCCAAAAACAGCCACAATACTGGTCTTCTGTGACAGTGGGGACAAAGTAAGATGAGAATCCACCACTTTTCACATGATTATCTGAGAGAAAAGTCAAAATAGTATGTTTTTTTTTTCTTTTTCTAGTTGTACTAGAAAAGAAAAGGTAGAATGATTCATTTAGAGGAGGCAGTTTTCAATCATTCTTATATGTTGTGTAAAATCGGGACTATACAGCACTGTACATAGCTATACTATTTTGTGTATCAAAAAAAATGATGATCCTTTGGCTAAATAAGCATTTGTAAAACTCTTCTCAATGTATTAAGTGCTAAGTCCAGCTCTGAAGATTTTAAGATGTGTAATAAAGAATCTTTAACTCTAGAAATGTGCCCATAAGTAGGGAAAAATGAACATGGGAGCAAATAAGTAAAACTTTACTGAGTGTGTAGTAGGAGAAGAGAAGACGGAGATCAAGAAAGGTTGCATAGAAGGATACTCTTGAACATTCTTTTAAGAGGATTTCGCTTTAGGGCGTGTGCACTCCCTAGAGAGACAGGTAGAGACAGTGAGAGGGAAAGTGAAAAATCACCCCTCAGGGGAGATGGCCATACTGCAATCCCTTCTCCTCCATTCCTGTCCTGGGATCTTGGACATGCATGTATATGCACTCGGTGTGATTTTTAAGGTACCAGCTCTGGGACTGAACAGTGGTCAGCCATGTGGAAGTCAGCAATGTAATCGTTAAGCCATCTGCTGGTCCGAACAAGGTCTTAAAAGATGAATAGATATTGGTTAGGTAACTGGTGTGAAAGTAAGGTGGTCCCAGGAAAAATAGGACAAAGTGACACAGGAGTGTTAGGTGGTCAGATTCCATACCCATACTGATTCTTGTCCAATGCTCACAAAGAATTAAAGACAGGGACACAGAGAGAGGGCAAAAAAGGTCATTAAAAGAGGGAAGGAAGAACAGCGATTCCAAGCAGGAAGGGGTACCTAATGGGTTGCTAAAAAAGAGCTGGAGGTGAGGTGGTTTTTTGTTTGTTTGTTTTTTGTGTTTTTTTTTGTTTTTTGGTTTTTTTTGTCTAATAGTCTGAGCAATGGGCTGATTTTCTGACAAGGAAGTGGGCCTTAGAACATAGTTTTATGGTAGTCTGAATGATTTATTACTCTATTTGTATGGTCAGTGGACCATAGTGTTCTGTACTTCTTAAAATACAGTTACTAAATAGAAACTGTTGTCTTCAGAAACTGTTGCTTTGAGTCCCAATGCAGCCAGCATTTGCCTGTGAAAACTTACCTCCTGTGACTCCCTGGTGGCCTTATCCTCTCAGTGTGCTCAATATCCCTATTTCCTGGCTTATTAGCAAGGAATCATATATTTTTTTAAAGACATGTAAAAGGGGTATATATTATATATTAACTGGACCATAGAGGAAAAACACTGTGATCTATTTTGAGGTCCTTACTCTGTTTACCTACAAGTGAGGTCTAACTTCTATGGCAAAAGCACCCAGACACATCACAGCCTGCCATGCTGGGGCAGAGCAGCCAAATTAACGTGAATGAATCATATCCTGTGCTAGAGGTAGACTCCCAGAGAAGACTGAAAAAGCAAGCATAAATGAGACAGCAGAAAAATGGGTATGCAAGATTAAGAACTCTGGACTTTATTTTGTATAGTACAATGGCAAATCAATTGGCAGGTAAATCAATTGGCAGGTAGAGAATAACATAATAAGGAATGCACTTTTGCCAAGCTACATTGGCGCTATAGTTCAAGTATACATCCTCTGCCTCCAAATTTGTGTGTTCAAAGCCATCCCTCTTTAATAAGATGAAGAGGGCATAAACTTAATCTGATTATGGTGTGGAAAGGTAGGTCCTTGAGGTGTGATAAAGTCACTGGGGTGGGGTGTTCGTGACTGAGTTCTGGTGTGTTTATAAACAGAGAGAATGAAACCAGAAGGCAGAGCGGAGAGAAAGCCACATAGATATAAACTGTTCTCTGCTCTGTTACACATTCTGCCTTCTGCCATTTTGTGATGCCTTTGGAATTCCCAGCCACAGAACTGTGAGTCAAAGAAACTTTTGTGTCTTTAAATTCACTGAGTCTCAGATACTTCCATTAGTAGCTCAATAACAGACTACAACAGTTGGCATCAGTATGAAGGAGAGGTGAAAAGGTGAGAGGTTAGGGAGAGGAAGACTAGTTAGCACATCCTGGGAAGGACTGAGCTATGAGATGATGAGGATCTGGACTAAGCCCCGTGATGGAGATAGATCGGATATGCTATGAAACGTATGAAAATGTAAACGATGAGCTATGCGTTGTCACTGTCTTAAAAGAAAAGGAGACGGGTCAATTCCTGGGTACCTAGTGTGAGTACCTAGGTAGATGGGAATGCTACTTCAAGAAAGTAGAATGGAACAAGATAATCAGTTCCATTTGGACACCCTGAGCTTGAGCTACTTATGAATATACAAGATATACAGTAAGCACGTGTTGTATGCACAAAAGATTATTCAAAGACCCAGAAAGGTAAAAGATATACGAGTTTTTTAAATATAGAGGCTCAGAAACTGGAAATTCATTCGGATATTAACATTCAGTGTCTGTGCCAAATCTTTGATTAAGGGAAAATCCACAAGTTGATTTTTATATGGAAGTTGTGCTTTCCCTAGACTATAATGTCTGATTTCATTTCTCAATGATGAAAGTGCATCTTTGTCTTCAGACAATACTTACTGACACACCAGATCTCCCACAAAGATTATCAGTATCTCTCCAGAATAGCACCTTTTAAAGGGGATCCCAGAAATGTTAATTCGCAAGACATAAAACTCAAACTCTAAGGCAAAAACAGTTTGATACTGAAAATTTAGAATACACATTTATATATTAACATGACTAAGAATACTACAATAAAGAAGTACGTGCAATGTTTCTTTTTCTTTTTTCTTTTTTTCTTTTTGGAGAGGTTTTTGCTATAGGGCATGTGCACTCTCCAGAAAGACAGAGAGAAAAAGAGACAGAAAGCGAGAAATCACCCCCCACGGGGGATTGCCATGCCACAATCCCTTCTCCGCCATTCTCCTCTTGGGATCTTGGACATACATGCACACGTGCCTGGCATGAATTTAAGCCACCAGGTCCGGGACTTGAACTGTGGTCAGCTACACGCAAGTCCAGCAACAGAGCCATTATGCCATCTGCTGGTCCCATGCTATGTTTCTTAACCCATAGTTTTGTTTTAACCATATTACCTTGGGTAGGGATAGTGAGGTCAAACACAGATCAAAGGGAGAACCAGAAGGCATTTTATAGGCTGTTTTGTTTTGTTTTTAAGGTTTTTGCCATAGAGCATGTGCACTCACTAGAGAGAGAGAGAGAGACAGTAAGAGGGGAAGTGAGAAATCACCTCTGTGGTGGGATGGCTATGCCACAATTCCTATGTCTCCATTTTCTTCCTGGGATTTTGGACACACATGTACATTGCCCAGTGTTATTTTTAGGCCACTGAGTCCAGAAATTGAACTGTGATCTACCTTATGGGA